GGTTCGGGTTATTTTTTGGGGTTTCTGAAAAACTGGTTTTCTAGAAAACCAGGTCTCCGAAGGCCTAGCAGCAAAAACCATTGTCATATTCGGAGTCAGCATAGTCGATAATCTATTCTCCACTAGGTTTCAAGAAAAAAGCGAGCGGACACTTGGGGCAGTTCCCTCGTGAGCCAAAATAACCTAATAATTTTTAATAAAATAAAATTTTAATAACCTTTGTTGCTCGATGCTGCATAAAATAAGAAGAAGATTTAGAAAAGAGGAGAACAACGAAGAAAAACAAAGAAGGGAATGAATTGCTACGAATAAACATGACATGACTAAAAACTAAAGTTAGGCGGCGAGTAATGTGATTAGCTTGTAGTTTATTTAAAAATATACAACTTCTTGTTTGTTTAAAGATGTAGCATGCCCTAGTTTCCATGTAGATGGAAATTCTAGATTTTTCAGTGATAAGTTAAACAGATGATCAAAAATCGGGTTAAATAAAAGCACTTTTATTCAGGATTAAAAATTTTCAAAAGATAAAATGTTTCAGTTGAAATTTGACGAAAACATTCTCCTTTGGTTACAGACATTTTTAAGCTTAGTTTTTAGAGACAATGTTCTAACAATAAATTCGAATAACGCGCTGCTTTTTCTGTCTATAAAGTTTATTAAATCAGAGTACCGATTGTTGAAAATATTTTTTTCTTAATGTCAGCATATATTTGCGGCCACAGATGTGTTTTCAGTTTTGCCTTACTCGCTAATGGTATAACGTTTTCCGCTGTATTGCCAAGATTTGATGTTTGATTCGTCCCCCACCAGCCGGTTCATTTAAAAGTCATATTACTGGTATGTCAAACTTCCTCTGCTTCTCCCTCAAAGATATTTGAGACTAACTCTCTTTTATTGTATGTTTTGTCTATAAACGAGTAAATAACCTCTTGGTCTGACTGATACTGCATCTGTAGTACACATCGAAGATGCTAAATGTTCCAACATAATCCAGTGATGCGCAAATCGATTTTTAGTTGGATCTAGCACTAAAACTTGATCACTAAGTGAATCATATGCTGACAATAGGCTATGGTGCCCGCACTGTTGAACATATGTGTCCCCATTTCCACTTTTGTTCCTAAATTGTCTCCAATAATTACAAATAATAAATGCTGAACATGTGACCAAATATTGTTCAATATCGTTTCTTAAGGTGTTCTCAAATTCAACTAAATTTTTACTACCATAGCGAATAATCGTTTTTAAACCACCAATATTTAACGCAACACTGACTTGTTCTAATGTCATACCGTTACTCATTTTAGTTTTTTCATTCATTTGTACAACATTTTGATATAAATAATTTTGAGTAACTTTGCAATATTTCTTATTTTCAATCTCTTTTGCATACATGGTATTCAAGAGAATTGTAGTACAGGCAATACCACAAAATGACAGGTGTTCTTGAAATTCATAATTAGGAATCAATAAATTATGAGCATCATGGTTTGACGTTGAATAATAGAGCTGACCTTGAGTTGTATCTAGGGGAGTTATAATTGAGGGGTACCAAAGATCTTCTACAGACAGTTGTTGTTGTTTCTTTTTCGAAGATTCAAACATATTCTACAAGGAAAAAGATGACAAATGATTCGAGATAGTCAGAAAAGTCAATATTAAATACGCTTTTTATCCAATCAATGTATGTCGACGTAGACCTCGGTCTGTTTCCACGACTTGTGATTCAATGAGCCCTGTAGCGTTCCTATAGCGTATCAAGCCACTTCCTTTTCTCTCACTGTTGGTCCAACTCGACTTACAAGAGAAAGAAGTAGACTGAAAGAAGAACTGATGAATGTGAGTGAGAGACTATCCTTTGCCGTACTGCAGACGCAGGCTGTTAAGAGCAAGATATTAGCAGACTTAATATATCAGGCAAAAACAACTTGCCGAAACGAATGGGCACCTCGGCTCTAAAGCAAAAGTTCTTTGTTTGTGAAATGTTATATTCATCTGTCTCAACTTTTTGAAACATTATTGTTGATGGCGTGTTATCTGTGAAAGCATTGAGATACAATATGTGGAAGGGGCGTGTCATGAAACCATTTCCATACGCCATTCCTCATTGTTTATATGAATCTAAGAAAAGTAGCGTCTTTGCTTGCACGATAAGTGTTTATATAGACTTTTTATCCACATGTGTGTTCTTTCTGCTGCGTAAGCACAGTAAGTCTACATTCACAACTTACCTGAATTTTAATAATACAACATTTTTTTTTTCTGTTCTGTTTTTATAATCAATTTCTATATTAATGACTCAAATATGAAAGCGATTGCGAAAGAGCAAAACATTCTTTCCCAGTTGAAGGGAACAGGTAAGATACCATGTCGAAATGTTAATAACCGATTTATGTGGAAATTATTTATTCAACTTCTAATGAAGACATCAATCGTAGTGCAGTGTTGCGTTAAATACTGGTGGTTTAAAAACAATTATTCGCTATGGTAGTAAAAATTTAGTTGAATTTGAGAACACCTTAAGAAACGATATTGAACAATATTTGGTCACATGTTCAGCATTTATCATTTGTAATTATTGTAGACAATTTGAGAGCAAAAGTGGAAATGGGGAGACATATGTTCAACAGTGCGGGCACCATAGGCACCATCTCACAATTTCTCGTGCATTTCGCACTTTTCAGTCCTTTGAGCATTTATCGCGTAGATAATTTTTTTTCAAAATAATACCAGTTAGCAGATCTTTGTGGCTACACGTTGAAAAAAGAATATTAAAAAGCTTCACTTTGGACTTTTAAATTAAGTTTTAAAGACTTTGAGTCGAACATCGCAAAAAGCAAAATTTTTTCACTCAAATATTGATCAAAACTTAATTCAATACACACTGATGAAAGAACTGTACGTAACAGGAATATTTTAATTATAAAAGGGTGTTGCCTGACTCGTTTCAAAAAGCTCCTTTATAATCGGTCAAATATGCCATATACTAAACTTCCAGTTATGCTCTTTTTTTCTCTTGTCTATAGCGAAATAAATTCTATTCTAAACGAGCGAAAAGCAAGACGACCGGCAAAATGGAATTTTCATTTCGCTATAGACAGAAATCCTTCTTGCGTAGGAAGAAATCTCTAAATAAAATTATCTTCGCATTCATCCTTTAAAATTCAATATACTTCTTGTACACTCATTGAATAAACAAATGTTGTAACTGTTGGTTTTTCCCGCAAAGAACAGAGAAAAAGCATTGGGCACTACAAAAAGACATTCGAATACATCTTATGTCATCTTCGTTGCCCTGAGATTTTTCAGTCATCAATATCTATGACTTACGAGGAAAGCACCTCAGTGTCTCAGCACTTTGGATGTATGGTAGTACAACGAAAGGCGCATTACATCAAAGTTCAATTTATTTTTGGCTTAATTATACATCAGTCGGTAGAGCTCGACGAGCTGATCAAGAATATTAGCCTTAAAGAATTAGGTTTTGAATGAAAAATCTCCAAAATACTTAAGCGGTTCAACCTTCGAAAAACCCTTCGGTTTCAAAAATCAACTGTGTTTCGTTTACGTTCTTCTGACTTTTCGAAAGTATTTTTTCCGGATTGAGCATTAAAAACTGACTATGACAATGACGTTTGATCGAGGTAGAAGTCAAAGGTCTATCCGGTATGGACTTCGTGGACTGCCCCGCATAAAAGTTCCTACACAATTTTGCCAACCAATCTAGCTCTTCTTGTGAAGAGATGAGGCTAAAGTTTTCATTTCATCAGAACCGTCATTAAACGAGCTTCAGAAACAAGTTTCGCCTTTTTATTTATTTTGCTTATTACTAAGAAAATACATTTTTTCTGAATCAGGAGTGACAAAATCGAAATTTGCCCTGTAATTCTCTATTGTCTCCACCAGAACTCACTTTTTATGCTATAAAAATATCATATTCGTAGTAAATATGTAAATATTTTCTTGATATTCTTCTTGTTTTCTGTCTACTAGTAAATTTGGCGATAAAAAGAAATGCATACCTTTGACAAGTACAGAATATATATCTTACCCGATCTTTGAATACAGAAGCGATGTATAAATAGTGTCATCGGAATACATCAGTACGTTACAACAGGTTATTTTTAATTAAGTTCCCTGTTGTATTCGAGACTGATAGCCCCCTGACCCGTTTGGTTTTGTTCTTTTTGTCTTCTTTTTTGTTGTGTTTTACTGTTTCCTTTCGTCAAAGACGAGGGGGTCTACCACATATTAATGGTAGATGGAAACAGTAGGCTTTCAATTGCTCTCATAGTCACGGTGCTCTTGGCCTCCTTGCCGGATTTTTTCCGGCGTAGTGTATTAACACAGTGCCTTCTTTCGGATCAGGAACATAAAAGATGCGTTCAGTATCAAAAGTGACTCTTACCTCCCAACCTTTGACACCTTTTAGTTTAAATAAACGTCTTCTAATTGGCGTCATTGGCGTGGTCAGTAAATGTTTTTTGAACCGCGCAAACTGCTCAGGTTCCCGACGTTCTAAGTCATTGAAATCTCTTTCCATCCTGAGTGAAGTAAATCGAAATTGCCAGGAGAACATTTCTTTCTAAACACGTAGTAAATAAGGCTATGAACAGCTCTGTATAGCAAAACATGCTTGTATGTAAGACTTACCGTTTTT